TTTTTTTTTTTTTTGTACTAGGAATCGAACTTAGGACCTCGAGCTTGCCAGGCAGGTGCTGTGCCACTGAGCTATATCCCCAGCCCTAGTTGCTGTCTTTTTAAAAGTACAATTTTTAGGCCGGGGATATAGCTCAGTGGCATAAGTGCCTGCCTGGCAAATGCAAGGTCCTGAGTTCGATTCCTGGTACCAAACAAAACAATTTTTAGTTATGATTTCCCTGTTTCTTTTTTACCTATCTTTTATTTCTTCTATTGACCTACATATTTGAATGGATATTGATTCTTTCTCCCTGTCAAGTGCAGGGGTCTTGGGTTCCCCAGCTCAAGACTCATTCATGTCTGCTTGACCTTGATTGTAGGCAGGATATTGAGGACCCCAGTGAAGATAGTGACATTGTCTGTTTGTGCTTTGTATAGGTTAATATCATCTTCACTCATAAGTAATGGATTTGGCCTGTATAGGTATAGGTTGGTGGTCATACAACTCTGACCCAGGTACCTTGAACTGGTTGGTCTTTGAGAGGACATTCAATGCTCTGCCTGAGCATTTGAGGTGGAAGTACGATGGGTGTAGAGGCCGAGGGCAAGGTACTAGGAGATATTGAGTGTTTCCAGGTAAAACAAACATGGAGTGAGGAGAAGGTGTGCCTCCAGAATACTGTCCAATCTAGTAGTGAGCACTGTTTTTTATAGTCATAATAATTAAACTGAATATTTATATAACCAAAGATTGGCTTTACCATTTTGGACAATTCGGCTATTAATCCTAAGAGTCTTTTGGTGGCTCTTTTTTGGGAACTTCCGTGTAGAGGATCATGTCATCTGCAAATAATGATAATTGACTTCTTTCTAATATATATCCTTTTTATTTTGGAATTGGGTAGTTGACTGCTCAGATCTTTCTGCAGGGTCAAGGCTGGAAGGAGGAATGACCCTGGGGAGCTGTGGATGTGGGCAAGAAGGAGCCCGGCACAGGAGGTCTGTGGGAGGCCTATTCTGGCCCAGAGTCCACTCTTCTGCTGTTGGGCAGGTCTGTTTTACTGGACCTCAGTTAATGAGAAAAGGAGTACACTCTGGGGTCTGTGTCTCCAGGACTGCTTGGGTCTTGAAGTGTAGTGACTCAAGGACCATGTAGATGTTTCTGGTGAGAGAGTGATCATCTGAGAATGGCTAGTCTCCCCAGTTTCCTGGCCTGTTGAGGTAGGGCCTCCTCGACCTTGGCCTTCCCTTTGCCTAGGCCAGCAGTCACTGTGGTGGCACTCTGTCCTTCACAGGTGATCCTGGTAGGGGTCTTATGACCTTCTGTGCTAGAGGCAAGTAAGTTCTGGTCCCTGCAGACTGGCAAGGGGTCTTCTTTCTCATCATAGCCTGCTCTCCTCCATGCCTCCATCTGTGAGGAACCATCTTGTGGCCTCTGCTCTGAATGTACAAAGCCTGCCTGCTACACCCAGCCCCATCATCCCTCTGTACCTGCACTCTGCTTTTCCTCTCAGGGAGTGTTTTCTGTTGCCGAAGTACTGCAGCCGTACACTATGCTTCTCCAAAACTGGAAGCGGGCAGCTGTGTGTGGCTCAGAGCCCCTGAGATAGACGAAGGCCCTTGCCACCAGCCTTCTTCATTGCACTTAGCCCTGTGGGGGTTGTTTTTAACCATGTTATTTTTCCATTCTTTTTTTGTAATATTACCACTTTGATTTAATTACAAACTAAAACTTTCCAGTTCGTCCTGGAGTTAGCCTTGATCCTCTAGGGAGCGCTGTTTCTTTAAGGATAAAATCATTCATGAATAAAAACATCCTCTGGGTCTCAACCTAATGACACATTGCAGTATGCTGCAGGAGGTATAGCCCATTCCCCTGAGTTTAGCCTGTGTGGAGCAAACCTTAGGCCTGGAGGATGTTCTTCTGGTGGGATTGAGGGGAAACCCATCTTGGACAGCGGGTGGGGTGGACCCTCCTATTGGGGTCCTAGGCAGGTTGACCAGGGGAGGCTGCAGTAATGAGAGCTACAGTCAAGTAGAGTAGAAGTGGCTGAGCACAGCCAAGACCTATGAGGGCCATGGACATGGAGTGTAGAGGCTACATAGATGCTGTTGAGCTGGACTGTCTGGGTTCTGGGAACACACACAAAAGAAATTCAGAACCCCCTGCACTTGGGAGTTGGCTGCAAATGATAAGTGTGACTTTATTTACATTTCATTTGGAAGGGAAAGTGAAAATGAAAGCATGCCAGAGATGATTTTGAGGTTATTTCTTAGAATTTAGAAGAAAGGAAGCAAAAAAGAAAAAATAAAAAATAAAAATAAAAAAGAAGAAAGGAGAGCCAGGCATGATGGCTGTAATCTTCAGCACTTGGAAAGCTAAAGTAGGAGGATCTCTGTGGGTTTGAGACCAGCCTGAACTGTATCACAAAACCTGGCTCAAAAATGACAAAAAAAAAAAAAAAGAAAGAAAGAAAAAGAAAGAAGAAAGGAAACAGTCATTACTTGAACTGCATTTTTACTGAAGTTCACTTCAGGTTTTACCTGCTGTGTACCATGTGGACATCCTGTCTCATCTGTTGTACTTATACTGCATCAAGGAGCAGCATAGTAAGTGACGTGATGGACTGACCCAGTTTGCAGGGGAGTGCAGGACTTTTGTTACAGCCACAGGCCTTATTTCAGGAATAGAATGAGATAGAGAGGGAATTGTTACAAATAGTTCATTGCGTTGTCTCACGAACCCCCTCAGGCTCTGGAAGAATAAGATAAATACACATTAAAAATTTCCACTAATTAAAAATTGTCTTAATTCTTACAGAAAAAGCTAATAGAAGACTCGTGTTTATTTTTCATCAAGAATAGAAGAACAGAAGGTCTGTTCATACCTCCCTTCCAGGACCATAGAGGGCAACTCTTACATCACTTGCCCCCCATCAAAATCTGAGGCACATCCACATGTCTGAAAGGCTTGGCTGTGTTCTTAAAGCTTTGAGTTCTGAGTTTCAGTTTTGGAAGTGCAAACAAACCCATTAATATGTTAGTGGAAAAACCTTCCAGAAATAATTTGGCCTTTGATGAAATGTGCTCAGTCTGACTGCTCTGGGATGACAAATCCTCTTGTGCTCTAGAATCCTAAGGTTATGTCCCTGGCAGTGTTCACCCTGCATTAAAAAAAAAGTATGTGTGGTTCTGCTGCAGTTTACCTGGACCTAAAAACTGGACCTCTGGTGCAGAGACTGTTCTTGCTTGGTAGGGGAAGGCCAGGTCTACCTGAGGGGCCAGGAGAGGCCAGGCTGTGCTTACCTTCACTCTCTACTATGGCCGAGACTGACCACAGAGTGTGCTCCTGGGAATACTGCCACCAGCTCGTCAAAAGAAATGAGAGGAGAGCAATATTGAGTTACCACAAGTATCAGTGTTGAGTTTGCATAATTATCAGGGGAAGCTATTATTTCCATATAAAATGAGAGAAACCTAGAAACTTAATGGAGCGGCTGTGTGTTTTGTCTGCTTTCTCTCTGGTTAGGGTTCCTGGGACGCCTGTCCTTCCTTTGCCAGTTACCCAGGTCTGGTGGTAACCAATCCTCTGAACCTGAGGTTATGTCCCTGGCAAGCAATAGGATAGGGCTTTCCCTGAATTCCTGTGTAGATCACACAAGAATGTGCTCTGGGTCTCCTCTGGCCCAGCTAGAGGATGCTCTTGCTGACTATTTCAAAGTGCTATTCCAGGAGTGTCTGGTAAAAAGTTGCTATTCCACTTGCCTCGCAAGACTCTAGACTCTAGTTTTTAGATAAGTAGTTGATGTTAGAGTATGGTAACAGATATTGAATAAGTGGCTGGTGTATTTCATGTAAGTACAATCCTTGCATTTGTAGTAAGACATCAGGTGTCCCTTGTGTGCCCCTTGCCGTGTATTTTCTGCTTCTGAACAGTGAGAGGCAGCAGAGGTCAGTGCTGTTTCCCACAGTAGGTGGGCAGGGGTAGGGGGTCGGTATATTCCAGAAGCAATGTGTTTTCCTCTGACATCAGAATTTAACTGTTCATCATAAAGAGATAGTGCTTCTTTTCAATTTTGTCTTGGTATACAAGAACATATTTATGTGTGAGATGAATAACCAAAAAGAGGAAAATAAAGACTGCTTTTGAGTCTGGTGCCAGGAGAAGGTGTTTCTGTGTTTCATTGTGCCCACAACTCCTTGAGTATGAGTGGTCTTGGCAGTTGAGTCTGGATTGGTAGCTGGAAGTTCTTAAAAGCTGTAAATTTTCATAGAGCTTGATACTTTGCCCTTTTCCTTTCACAGTGCTGTATGGTTTTCTTCTTGTGTGTGTGTTTTTTTGTTTTGTTTTGTTTTGTCTTTTTGAGACAAGGTCTCGTTATGCAGTTCAGGCTGGCCTTGAGCTTACTTTGTAGCCCAGGCTGGCCTCGAACTTGCAAGGATCTTGCCTCAGCCTCCTGAGTGCTGGAATTACAGGCATGTACCATCATGCCCAGCTTGTTTTGTTTTTTAAGACAGGGTCTCACTATATATTTCAGGGTAGCCTTGAGCTCATTACATAGCCCAGGCTGACTTTGAATTACTGGTGATCCTCCTGCTTTAGCATCCCAAGTGCTAGGATTATAGGCGTATGTCACCACACTGGGCTTTATATGGTTCTTTTAAGAAATAAAAATCATGTCATTCTACCAACACACAATCTCAGCATTCTGACAGAGGAGTTCTGTGGTGTGGCCATTACACCTCACCTTGCTGTGCACTGTATCCTGTATTTCTCACAGTTGGCTGAGTGGACTCCTTGCAGTGACTCTCTGCCTGCTTACAGTGACCCCCAGGCCTCCCACATTAGCCTTAGGTGTCTTTTCTCAGAGCCCCCACATGTACCCTACCTTCTACCTCCTTGGATGGCCTGCCGAATGTTGGTCTTCTCTCCACAGATCCCGATGGCGAGTTGTACAGCGTGCCACCTGCCCAGGATGAGGGTCCTCCCACTTGTGCCGATGAGTTTGATGACTTTGTCACCTACGAGGCAAGTCTGGATGCTCCCCTCTTCCTCTCTGTGCTATACATCTTGCTTCCTGAGTCTCCTGCTATTGTCTTTGCAGATGGTATATAAAGAGAAGGGGGGCCAGTTAGGTGTTTCTGGGATTTTTGGCTGTGGCAGAAGGTCAGTGTCTGTTTCCTTGCAGCTCCCAGGGATGGGGTTGTGTGTGGGAGTCCTCTCTGGGGGCCTGTCCTAGAGCAGAGCGCAGGTAGGTGATGGGGCTCTAGGTGATACTGTTGTTATCTCCCAGGGTAGGACAGAGGAGGTTTCTGAGGTTTCCTTTTATGGACCCTCAAATGGTTTTCTGTGTTGTAGGATATCTGAGTAATTCTTGCCCTTCCGTACTTCATCCGTTGCTCCCAGAAGCAGCCAGGATTGTCATGGTTATCTGATGTCTTTGTGAGTCCCTTATCACCATAGCTAAGCAGAAGGTCATGGTGGAGGAAAACAAGCCAGTCACTGTACCCAGCAGACTAGAGGTCCAGGGGCTTGGGAGCAATGTGACTGGATCTGGACTGTTTTCTTTATGAAATGTGGAGACTGCAGTTCCAGCTACTCAAGAGACTGGCTGTGGCCAGCCTTCTCCTGCTGGCTGAAGGTACAAGAAGAAGGGCAGGGTCAGGATCCAGGGGCCCTGAAGCTCTTTACTTCAGTCTTCTGAGTCTTGGCTCTTTGGTCACATGAGAGGTATATCTAGTAGTGTCCAAGCAGCTTCTGAGGTCCAGTGGCCATGGGGCCCAGGCTTGCTACTGTTGACCTTTGTGCCTCTTGTCGCTGCTCTGGGAAGCTGTCCTAGCTGTTTGTCACCCTCAAGTAGCCAAATTCACTTCCTGACTGCTTGTCACTTTGGCCCACACAGACCCCTCCCAGCTTTGTCTCAGAGAACAGAGAGGGCCAGAGTACTGTCTTAGATCCCTGTTTGGGCTCTACCTGGCTTGTTCATCCTGCCTGTACCTGGTAAGTGTCAGAGTGTGGGGCAGGAAGGTACCTCAGGTTTTCAGATTCAGATTATTTTTTTAGAG